CTGCCCAGGTGGGTCTCGAACCCGTGGGCTCAGGCAATCCACTCATCTCAGCCTCCCAAAGGCATGGGATTACAGGCTAAACCACCAACCCTGGCTTTTTTTTTTTTGTTTTTTTGTGAGTTAGAGTCTCACTCCATTGCCCAGGCTAGAGTGCAGTGGCATGCTCATGGCCACCCCAGCATTAACCTGCTGGACTCCGGCGATCCTTCTGCCTCAGCCTCCCAAGTAGCCAGAACTACAGGCACTACCATGCCTGGCTAATTTTTTATTTATTGTAGAGATGAGGTCTCGCCAAGTTGCCCTGGTGGGTCTCAAACCCGCAGGCTCAGGCAATCCTCTTACCTCAGCCGCCCAAAGTGCTGGGATTACAGGCTGAGCCACCATGCCTGACCCAATGAAATCTTAATAAGGGTAGTCTAGTCTTATTGATTAGTTAGAATTGTAAAATTTAGCATAACATTTCTCAAATTTGGTTTTTAGGACAAAGATATTATTGAGGCAGTCAATCACATTGCAGACTGTTCGGGTAAATTTAAATTGTTAGAGCATGCTCTACGCGATGCTAAGATGGTGGAGAATTGTATAGTGAAGGAAAAGCAAGATTATAAGCAGAAATTGAAGGCACTGAAGATTGAAATCAATAAACTAAAAGGTAAGGAAGAAACAAAAACGCAGGATAATACCATACATGATCTTGGGAATATATTTTTTCATTGGGGCTCACTTAATCTTATGTTTGGGAGTAGTTCTGTTCCGTTTCCTTTACATAGAATTATGGTGCAATTTTGTGTTACAAGATCAACAACACAAGGTGGAGAAAACTGCATAATGTATCATATTTTTAAATAGTCCTGCCTTGGTTTAGGTGGCTATACCATGAGCTATTGCTAATACATGCTCTGTGACAGATAACAGCAGTCTCTCAGTGGCATGTGGTCATAGCATCTATTCAACACAGGTATCTGAAGGCCAAATGGGAGTTGGCTGATCCCGATTGGACCCTGCAGAGTGGCTCATCTGTGGCAGCTTTGCCTCACGTGTTTCATCTTCTCTTTACCAGTGGGCTAGGCTGGATATTTCTTCAAACCAAGTGAGGACAGAAACTTAAGAGAACATGCAGAGACATGTGAGAATTCCCTAAGACTTCAGCCTGGGCCTGACATCATTTCTGTCTCATTCTGTTAGCTGAAGCAAGTCACATGGCCAAACCCAAATCAAGCAGTTGGGAAATGTACTCTGCTCTTTTGTGGGAGGAATTGCAAAATCACATCCTGGGACAGAGGAGGAATTGCCACCAACAGCACAGGCTACCAGAGTGGCTTTTGTGTGTGTTTTATTTTTGCAAATTCCCTTTCGAGTCTTCTTTTCTATTTTTGTTCTCACAGTAATTCCATGATTCACTTCTTTCTGAGTAAGGAAAATCTCTAGAAGTTTTGTAATAAAACAAAGACAAGGTATACCAAATAAGTCAGTGCTCTGTATTGAAATATGGAGACAGGTGATGGTGTAAACATTTAAATTTATCCTCAAAGGGTGTGGGGGTAGGCTCACTTTTCTCTGACCTTTCTCTGCTGTGGGGCAGAGTCAGCTGTTGAACTGAAGAGCTGTTATTTTAGTCTTAAGTCTGCACTTATAGTATATCATTACATTAGACAACAGGACTGACTCTCAAGGTGGAACAAGCCACCTTAGAAGCTGTGACAGAGACATAGCATGGAGACGTGGATCTGACCTCTGTCCAGTATGCAGCACCCTGTGAGGTAGAGAAGTACTCTGCTTGGATGTACTCAAGCAAGGGACTAGGTGGAGAGGATTCCAGGATGCTCCAGAACTAAATGACCCTTTGCATTTCTTTCAACTAAAAGATTCTGAAATTGTATCTTGGCTGATTCAATTTAAAAGATTCAGCATTCTAAGATCTTGTCCTTATGATTCCCTGACCTGTGTTTCATCACAGGTCTTCTCTCCATTTGTAGTTTCAGCTAAAACCATAATCATATTATAAGCCCCTTGGTATCAGAGACAGACTTCATCTTCTCTTTTTTGAATTTCCAGCACAGCACCTGGGCTACATTGTAGGTGTTTTTTGTTAATTGAATATTTATATATGTCTTGGTAAGATATTCAATTAAAGAGAAATCTGAGGCCAGGCGCAGTGGCTCATGCCTATAATCCCAGTACTTTGGGAGGCTGAGGTAAGAGGATTGCCTGCGCCCACAGGTTTGAGAACAGCCTGGGCAACTTGGCAAGACCTTATCTGTACAATAAATCAAGAAAAATGAGCCAGGTGTAGTGGCACATGTTCCAGCTATTTGGAAGGCTGAGGCAGAAGGATCGCCTGAGCCCAGCAGGTCGAGGCTGGGGTGGCTGTGAGCATGCGACTACACACCAGCCTGGGTGACAAAGTGAGATTGCAACTCAAAAATAAGAAAGATTTTCAAGTAAAGAGAAATCTGTTGGGTCAATATTTATGTATTACAAATATTCTACAAATGCAATAGTTATTTTTTTTAATTATTTTTAAATTTTCATTAATTTTTTTTTTTTTTTTGAGTTGGAGTCTCATTCTGTCACCCCGACTGGAGTGCAGTGGCATGCTCCCAGCCACCGCAGACTCAACCTGCTGGGCTCCAGCAATCCTTCTGCCTCAGGCTTCCAAGTAGCTGGAACTACAGGCATGTGCTACCACACCTGGCTAATTTTTTTGATTTATTGTAGAGATGAGGGCTCGCCAAGTTGCCCAGGCGGGTCTCAAACCCGTGATCTCAGGCAGTCCACTCACCTCAGCCTCCCAAAGCACTGGGATTACAGGCTGAGCCACCAAGCTCGGCTAAATTTTCATTAAATTTATTTCAGATTTTTTTTTTGTACTGCAAGGGAGCGGGGGCAGGACAGTGATTGATTTTTCTGCCAAATTCAATATTTATTGAAAACATTTTTAAAAAGAAAAACAGAGAAATAGGTAGTGGAATAGAGAGTGAGGCAGATAGACTCATTTAGTCTGGTTGGACTGGGAAGGCATCTTTGAAGAGTTAACATTTGCACTGAGTGATAGAAGAACTAGCCTGTGACCATCTGACCCAAGAACCTTCCAGGCAAAAGAGATAGCAAATGTAAAAGCCCCAGCATGGGTTTTGAGGTTGAGATGTTCTAGGATATTTTCCCTGATACTAACCAGTTCTCCAGTTCTCAAGCACCAACTGGGTGTCCAACAAGTCAATTCAATCTCACACTACCTGGAGTCAGTGCCAGTTCCCACAAGTTAAAGGGTTCAGTCCCACCAGACTGCCTCCACTTCTGATGTCAGTTACAAAATCCCAGGGGCCACCAGTACTTCTGACCAACTGGCTGTAATTTGGGGGTTCCCACAACCCCCTCCTCAGGTTTGACAATTTGCAAGAATGGCTCACAAAACTCAGGGAAGCATTTTACCCACTTTCACTGGTCTATTTTAATGACTGCACTCCAAGAACAGTCCCATAGGAGAGGTGTAGAGGGCAGGTAGAAGGGTGGGTGTGAGGGTGGGAGTTGAACTCAGAGCTCCATGCCCTCTCTGGGTGACACCAGATAGATGCCATGATGTATTCACCAACCTGGAAGCTCCCCAATCTCAAATCTCCTTGTTCAAGAATTTTTGTCGGGCTCAATTCCCAGCCTTCCCTCCTCTTCCGGTAGAACTGAAGTTCCAACCTCCAATTACATGGTCTTTCTGGTGACCAGCTGCGTCCTGGGGGTATCTAGGGGCCCACAGTCACCTCCTTAGCATACATTCTGGTGTGACCGGTTGGAGCTCTTTATGAATGACAAAACACACTCAAATCAATTAGGAAATCCCATAGGTTTCCGGAGTCCTGTTCCAGGAACAGAGTACAAAACCAAAAAATATTTCTTCTTATACATACATGCTCTGGAACAGAAGGAAAGAAAAGGAGGGATGGTAGGGAGGTAGGTAGGCCAGATCAGGTGGGCTCTGAGATTTATGGTGCCAGAGCGAGTTTGGATTTCATCGTAACTGCAGCAGGAAGGATTTTAAGCAAGGAACAGGAGCAGATTTTTTTGAGTCTCACTCTGTCGCCCAGGCTGGAGTGCAGTGGCACAATCACAGCTCACCACAGCCTCAACCTCCTGGGCTCCGGTAATCCTTCCACCTCAGCCTCCTGAGTAACTGGGACTACAGGTATGTTCCACCACACCCGGCTAATTTTTAAATTTTTTTGTAGAGACGAGGTCTGAATATGTTGCCCAGGCTGGTCTCGAATTCCTGGACTCAAGCAATTCTCCCACAGCATCTCAAAGTGCTAGAATTACAGGCGTGAGACCTGTAACATTGAGCCTCCGTGCCTCTCTGGGTGTGCTGGCCAGATTTTTATTTTTAAAAGATTGCTCTATGTGCGTTGTGCTGTCAGGTAAGAGAAAGCGAAACCTCGAACCAGGGTCTTTGCCAGAGTCTCTGCCAGATGCTCGCTATGGGACAGATTTTGGCCGTGGATCAACAGGACTTTCAGGTTAATTGGAAGCGGATGCTGAGGACATGAGTGTTAGTCATAGTGTGTATTTTCCTCAGAACTAGTATTGACTTGAGGATTTTATTTTCTTCTGTTCATGAAGAGGACCTAAATGAAAAGACGACAGAAAATAATGAACAACGAGAAGAGATCATTCGCCTCAAGCAAGAGAAAAGTTGCCTGCATGATGAATTGGTTTTTACTGGTAAAAACAGATGATTTGTTTAAGTGATTGAATTGTTACATACTTGTAATCTTGACTGTCTGTGACACTGCTATGACAGGCTACAGGAATTATATCCTGTCACGTAGTTTTTTTGGTTTTTTGGTTGGTTGGTTTTTAACATTCCTTGAGGGTTTGGCAAGGGACCAGGCAGGGAACGTTAATGCTATCATCATGCCTCCCAGTAACTACAGAGGGTGTCAAAAAAAATGTATACACATTTATCTATCTATTTATTTATTACTATTATTTTTGAGTTAGAATCTCACTCTGTCACCCAGACTGGAGTGCAATGGTATGCTCCCAGCCATTGCAGCCTCGACCTGCTGGGCTCCAGAGATCCTTCTGCCTCAGCCTTCCAAGTAGCCAGAACTACAGGCGCGTACCACCACACCTGGCTAATTTTTTATTTATTGTAGAGATAAGGTCTCGTCAAGTCGCCCAGGTGGGTCTTGAACCCTTGGGCTCAGGCAATCTACTCGCCTCAACCTCCCAAAGGATTACAGGCTGAGCCACCGAACCCAGCCTACACATTTTAAAAAAGGAAAAAACTGTATTAAAATTGTAATATTCAATATATACCGCTAACAATAGATAAATACAAGTCACGTTTGACTTCTGCAGTTACAACAGAGAGGTGCTCAAAGTGGTTACTGTCGAATTGCTGAAGGACTTGGTGCTGAGCAAGGCCTCCAGAATCTTCCCTTGTATATATCACATATAGGACCATGAGTCTCAAACCCATCATGAATGAGTGTGGTTGTTAGGCTTGTTGGAGGTTCTGTTACATACTCATGCCTCATCATTGTTGTACTTCCACGACGTTCTGGAATTTCAAATACCACTTCAAAATGGTCTTGCATGCCATGAACAACTGTGCTTCCGTCATTTTCTTTGATTGCCCTGTCGCATGGTGATGCTAGCATTCATTTGACTAATGCCATCTCTTTTTGGGGGGGAGTTGGAGTCTTACTGTGTTGCCCAGGCTGGAGTGCAGTGGCACGCTCACGGCTACTGCAGCCTTGACCTGTTGGGCTCCGGCAATCCTTCCACCTCAGCCTTCTAAGTAGCTGTAACCATAGGTGCGCGCCATCACGCCCGGCTAATTTTTTGATTTATTGTAGAGATAAGATCTCGCCAAGTTGCTCAGGCTGATCTTGGACCCCTGGGCTCAAGCAATCCTCTCACCTCCGCCTCCCAAAGTGCTAGGATTACAGGTTTGAGCCACTGTGCCTAGTCCAATGCCATCTTTTGAGCAAATGTCATGCTACACATTGCTACCATAATTCAACTTCGAAAAGTAGTACATAAATTGCTTTTTTTTTTTTTTTGAGTTGGAGTCTCACTCTGTCACCCAGACTGGAGTGTAGTGGCCGCTCCCGGCCACCGCAGCGTTGACCTGCTGGGCTCCGGCGATCCTTCCGCCTCAGCCTTCCAAGTAGCCGGAATTATAGGCATGCGCTACCACACCCGGCTGATTTTTTGATTTATTCGAGATGAGGTCTCGCTGCCCAGGCGGGTCTCGAACCCGTGGGCTCAGGCAATCCACTCACCTCAGCCTCCCAAAGGCACGGGATTACAGGCTGAGCCACCGAGCCCGGCTACATTTAAACTTTTTAAAAAATAAAATGCAATTCTTCATGTTCATTTCCTGTTCTTAACGGTTGGGAGAAAGTGGTTTTCTACCACTAGAGGTCACTATTTCCATAATTTCTAGGAGTCTCCAAGTAAATGAAATCTATTGCTAAAGATATGTGTATTTGTAGCTTTACAGTTAAATTCAAACGATTTGGGGATCAACATTTGCATGCCAGGCACCCCATGACTTGCTCAGAAGCTCACAGGCCTATATAGAATGTACTATACAAATGCTGTGAATAAGACACCATGGGAAACCAGAGGAAAGAATAGTTTACAGGATATTTGATAGACTCCTTTCTTTTGGATTCGTAACTTTTTGCTCATGCCTCTTATTACGTATTACAAGGTAAAGTATATGGAATTTGTTAGCTAATACTATAATAAATCAATTTTGTGAAATAATTTTGTTTTTGTTTTGTTTTGTTTTTGAAACAGGGTCTCACTCTTGCCAAGGCAGGAGTACAGTGGCGTCATCCTGGCTCGCTGCAGCCTTAAACTCCTGGACTCAAGTGATTCTCCCTTCTCAGTCTCTGGAGTAGTACCACGATGCCTGGCTAGTTTTTTTCATTTTTTGTAGAGACAAGGTGTCATTATGTTGCCCACACTGGTCTCGAACTCACTTCTGGGCTCAAGTAATCCTTCCATCTTGGCCTCCCAAAGTGCTGGGATTATAGATATGAACTGTGAAATACTTTTAAAAACCATTTCCTAAGTTGACTTCATGTATATTTCTTTTGTTTTATTTCTTTTGTTTTTGTTTAAGACACAAGGTCTTGCTCTGTTGCCCAGGCGGGAGGGCAGTGGTGCAATCATGGCTCACTGCAGCCTCCAGCTCTTGGGCTCAGGTAATCCTCCCACTTCAACCTTCTGAGTAGCTGAGACTACAGGCATGGGCCACCACCTCCAGCCATTTTTTTTTTTTTGAGTCAGAGTCTCAGTCTGCCGCCCAGGCTGGAGTGCAGACACAGCTACCACAGCCTCGACCTGCTGGGCTCAGGCAATCCTACTGCCTCAGCCTTCCAAGTAGCTGGACCTATGCCACCACGCCTGGCTAATTTTTGCTTTATTGTAGAGACGAGGTCTCGCCAAGTTTCCCAGGCTGGTCTCAAACTTCTGGGCACAGGCAATCCTCTCGCCTCCACCTTCCAAAATGCTGGGATTACAAGAGTAAGCCACCGTGCCCAGCCTTCTAAATTGATTTCTTTTTTTTTCTTTTTTGAGTTGGAGTCTCACTCTGTCACCCAGACTGGAGTGCAGTTGCCGCTCCCGGTCACCGCAGCCTCAACCTGCTGGACTCTGGCGATTCTTCCTCCTCAGCCTTCCAAGTAGCTGGAACTACAGGCACATGCCACTACGCCCGGCTAATTTTTTGATTTATTGTATAGATGAGGTCTTGCCAAGTTGCCCAGGTGGGTCTTGAACCCACAGGCTCAGGCAATCCACTCCCCTCAGCCTCCCAAAGCGCGGGATTACAGACTGAGCCTCCGAGCCTGGCTAAACTGATTTCTTAAACATTTTTTCTACTGAAGATAACCTTACACCATTGTCTGAAAACAATTTTAAAAATTTTAGATTTCTCATATTTAATTAAGAGAACATGGATGTATGAAAACAATTTTTTTGGTGGCTCAGCCTGTAATCCCAGCACTTTGGGAGGCTGAAGAGAGTGGATTGCCTGAGCCCACAAGTTCAAGGTCAGCCTGGGCAACTTGACAAGACCTCATCTCAACAATAAAAATAAAAAATTGGCTGGGCGTGATAGCACGTGCCTGTAGTTCTGGCTACTTGGAAGGCTGAGAAAAGTATTGCTGGAGCCCAGCAGGTCGACGCTGGGGTGGCTGTGAGCATGCTACTGCACTCTAGCCTGGGTGACAGAATGAGACTTCAACTCAGAAAACAAACAATTTTTGTGTGTTTTAATTACAAGAATAAATTTAGCCTAAAGAAGAATTGTAAAAGGTTCAGCATGATCATATGCTGTCAGATGTTTTGGCTAAAAGTTACTACATTTTATTTGAAGTTGGAAGATGTCTTAAAGTTTTCCTTTCCTTTCTTAGCATCTTATCTAAGGTCTCCCAGCCAATGAAAAGCAAACCCTTGAGCAGAATCTGGCAGGCTCCAGACTAGGGGCGATCCTTCTGTGGCTCTGTTCTACTTAGGCTGCTTGCACAGGCACACAGCAGAGACTTCCGTATCTCTTTGTTTTTAAAATTTTTTTTTTTTTAAGTTTGGATTTTTTTTGAGCTGGGGTCTCACTCTGTCACCCAGGCTGGAGTGCAATGGCACAATCATGGCTCTCCATAGCCTAGACCTCCTGAGCCTCCCGAATAGATGGGACTACAGGCACACGCCAACATGCCTGGCTAACTTTTTTGTGTGTGTGGAGACAAGGTCTCGTTATGCTGCCTAGGCTGGTCTCAAACTCCTGGGCTTAAGCAATCCTCCCACCATGGCCTCCCAAAATGCTGGAATTACAGGCGTGAGCCACCACACCTGGTCAAGAGACATATTGATTTTTGTTATATGAAGCATTTATATTGTTGATTTCTCAGTTCTGTATGAATCAAATTACTTTTCCTTAAGGGTAATATTAATATTTTTTTTCTGGTATGGTACCCTAGATTCTTTCCTTTCTTTGGGTTCTCATTTACCAGGTTCTGAAACTATTTTTAAAATATTGATTTTCTAGCTGGGCTCAGTGGCTCAGCTGTAATCCTGTGCCTTTGGGAGGCTGAGGTGAGTGGATTGCCTGAGCCCGCGGGTTCGAGACCCGCCTGGGCAGGCGAGACCTCATCTCTACAATAAATCAAAAAATTAGCTGGGCGTGGTAGCGTGCGTCTATAATTCCGGCTACTTGGAAGGCTGAGGGGGAAGGATCGCTGGAGCCCAGCAGGTCGAAGCTGCGGTGGCCGGGAGCGGCCACTGCACTCCAGTCTGGCGACAGAGTGAAACTCCAACTCAAAAAAAAAAATAAAAAATAAAAATATTGATTTTCTATACCCCAACTCTGGTAATACTGAAGTGTCCATGTTTCAGCAAAACACTCATGATCTTTGTAAAAGAATGAAGATTTTAAAAGTATAATAGCGAGGCTCAGTGGCTCAGCCTGTAATCCTGTGCCTTTGGGAGGCTGAGGTGAGTGGATTGCCCGAGCCCGCAGGTTCGAGACCCACCTGGGCAGGCAAGACCTCATCTCTACAATAAAATCAAAAAATTAGCCAGATGTGGTAGCGCATGCCTGTAATTCCGGCTACTTGGAAGGCTGAGGCGGAAGGATCGCCGGAGCCCAGCAGGTCGAGGCTGTGGTGGCTGGGAGCAGCCACTGCACTCCAGTCTGGGCGACAGAGTGAGACTCCAACTCAAAAAAATAAAAAATAAAAAAGTATAATAACTCATTTAATCTTTTTGCACAAAGAAATTGAGTGGACTACTATGCTTATTAAAGGAATTCTGAATCTTAATTGCCTAGCAGACCTAGTTTTCTAATTGCCTAGTTTTCAAGAAATAGAAAGTCTTTAAGGGAATATTGGGCTTTTAATAAAATAGAAATTTAGTTTGTCTCCCTGTGGGGGCACCTCATCGTTACAAATATCTTTAGTCAGTGAGAATATATGGGAAAGCTCAACTGTGAGATTACATCAGATTGACTTGCTATAAGTGATTCCCCCTCTTGTAATGTTAATTTCTTTCTCTTGATAAAGGGAATATATTCTTTGAATTTTTACAATGAAAATGCATTTACAGCCAGGTTCGCTAGCTCAGCCTGTAATCCTGCGCTTTGGGAGGCTGAGGTGAGTGGATTGCCTGAGCTCCCAGGTTCGAGACCCGCCTGGGCAACTTGGCAAGACCTCATCTCTACAATAAATCAAAAAATGAGCCAGGCGTGGTAGCGCGCGCCTGTAGTTCCAGCTACTTGGAAGGCTGAGGCAGAAGGATCGCCAGAGCCCAGCAGTTCGAGGCTGCGGTGGCTGGGAGTGGCCACTGCACTCCAGTCTGGGCAACAGAGTGAGACTCCAACTCAAAAAAAAAGAAAAAAAGGAAAATGCATTTACAATTTACTTGCATACTGTGAAAAGACTTAAAACTTAAAGTAAAATATATAAAGCATAGAGATTCGGAAATCAGTCTCATTCCATCCCCCCTAAAAAAGAAAGATAAATAGTTGTCTTTAATCCTCCCATTTATTTAATTATTTTATTTATTTATTTTTTGAGTCGGAGTCTCACTCTGTCACTCAGGCTGGAGTGCAGTGGCATGCTCATGGTCACCCCAGCATCAACCCGCTGGGCTCAGGCGATTCTTCCGCCTCAGCCTTCCAAGTAGCTGGAACTACAGGTGCTCGCCACTACACCTAGCTAATTTTTTGATCTATTGTAGAGATGAGATCTCGCCAAGTTGCTCAGGCTGTTCTTGAACCCATGGGCTCAGGCAATCCTCTCACCTCGGCCTCCCAAAGTGCTGGGATTACAGGCTTGAGGCACTGCGCCTGGCCTAATCCTTCCATTTAAAAGTAACTTCTCGGGAAAAAAAAAAAAGAAAAGTAACTTCTCAATACTTTGGTGTACTCGCTCTCAGATTTTTTTCTATGCACATGTATATACACACTTGTAATTTAAAATCCTTTTTGACTCAGCATTAATTATATTGTGAAAGTTTTTCCATCGAATGAAGGACCTAGTCAGAATCACAGGTTAATGCTCTCACCAGTAAGCCACTCTGCTGGTTTTTTTTTTTTTTGGGTCGGAATCTCTGTCACCCAGGCTGGAGTGCAGTGGCACATTGCTCATGGCCACCGCAGCCTCGACCTGCTGGGTTCAGGTGATCCTTCCCCTTCAACCTTCCAAGTAGCTGGAACTATAGGTGTGTGCCACCACACCCAGCTAATTTTCTGTTTCATTGTAGAGATGAGGTTTTGCCATGTTGCTCAGGTTGGTTTCAAACCCGTGGCTCAGGCAATCCTCTCGCCTCTGCCTCCTAAAGTGCTGGGATTACAGGAATGAGACACTGCACCCAGCCCATTCTGCTATTTTTAAATTCAGGGACAACAACAAAAGTTAGTAGATCATTGAGTTGTTGGAGATGGAGAGGTTTGTGTTGGTATGGCTGAAAAATGTTTTAATAATATTTGTTTTCAAATAGTAGAGAGAGAAAAGAGAAAAGATGAGTTACTTGATATTGCAAAGTCAAAGCAAGAACGTACAAATTCAGAACTGCATAATCTGAGACAGGTATGTCCCTAATTATCCTTCTTTATTAGGTTGGAACTGTTTATAAACAAATAGCTAATTAGGAAAAATTTGTGCCTGTTGATTTGCTTATAGTGCGTTTGAAATCCTAACTATATTAGAAGTATATCATATTTTGTGTAACAGATAGGATCTTACTTATGATGATTAAAAGTTTGGAGACTAGCTATCCTAACAAATCTCACTGCTAACAAAGGACAGAGAAAAGCAAACATATTTAGCCTATTTCTCTAGTAATTATCTGATCTATTTTAGGACTTGAAAGTGCCAAATTATTAGTTCAGTTTAGTTTTATTATTACATTTTGTATTGACTCATCAATATCTATGGCAGATTTATGTGAGACAACAGAGTGATTTGCAGTTTCTTAATTTCAATGTGGAAAGATCTCAGGAATTAATACAGATATACGACTCAAAGATGGAGGAATCAAAGGCCCTGGAATCCAGGTAATCTTAGCAAGATTCTATTAATATGATCTTTATTGTTTTCCATTATTGCATCAGTATTTACTGCACACTTAACTGTGGACCAGGAGCTTCTACTACTTCCTATATAGCAGGAAGTGAATATATGTAAGCTATTAATTCTCGTTATAATTCTGTGCTGTCACAAGACCTGATCTAAGAGTTTAGACATGATCCTAATTTAGCCACTTGATAAAAGTAAATTCATTTAGCCGGGCTTGGTGCCTCAGCCTGTAATCCTGTGCCTTTGGGCGGCTGAGGTGAGTGGATTGCCTGAGCCCGCCGGTTTGAGACCCGCCTGGGCAACTTGACGAGACCTCATCTCTACAATAAATAAAAAAAATCAGCCGGGCATGGTAGTGCATGCCTGTAATTCTGGCTTCTCGGAAGGCTGAGGTGGAAGGATCGCCGGAGCCCAGCAGGTCGAGGCTGCGGTGGCCGGGAGCGGCCACTGCACTCCAGTCTGGGCGACAGAGTGAGACTCCAACTCAAAAAAAAAAAAAAAAGTAAATTCATTTAACCTGATTTGTGTCTGTTGAACAGGCTTTGAGCTAGGGTAGAAACCACAGAGATGAATCAGTCATTCATTCATTCAGCATTCACAGTGGCTAGGAATGGGGAATGTAAAGATATACAGGACATGGTACTTGCCCGAAGGAAATAATGCCAAAGAATGGCTTCAGTCGCTAAGGTGGGAGCTAGCTCTCTGTGGGTGATCTGTGTTCTTAACTTGAATTTCCTGTTTGCCTCATTAATAGGAAACATCTTTCCTTACTATAACAAGCAGTGTGGGAATTAAATTGGTTTCTGTAAAATTAAAATACAAATATATAAGATGTGGTTTCATTTAACAGGGGTGTAACTGTACCACAGCTAAAGCTAGTCTACTTTTCTAAGCAGAACAGTTATAAGGAGTGGTTGAAAGGACGAGGGATTAGGGAAGGTGCCATGACCACATGTAACCACGGAGACTGGACTGGACTGACAGCAGCCCCTGTCCCTGGGAGAATGGAGTTCAGAGTAGTGGCAGTTAGTCGTTGCAGGGATGGAATGTAAGAAGCAATGATGGTTGCCCGTGTGTGAGGGGGCTTCTGGCACTTTCTTTCTGAGGCCTCTGCCAGGGCTTATTGCCTGTTGCTCTATTTCCCAGCTGCTCCTGCTACCAATAGACACCAAAGCAATGCAGGGTTCTCTTGCAGGCAAAAGCCCCTAACATGCTGGCTCTTGTTCCTTTTTGAACTTCATTGCCACTGAGAGGTACGAGATGAGTTGAGATTATACCTTGAAAGCATAAAATGGTTTATGCCATTATAGGAGAAGAGAATTGTATTTCAAAGGTATCAGAATGATGCAGATTAGAATACCTGAACACATGTAACATGAAAAACCTTAAAAGATTTTGTTAGGCTTGTCACAGTGGCTCATGCCTGTAATCCCAGCGCTTTGGGAGGTTGAGGCCAGAGGATCACTTGAGGCCAGGAGCCCCCGATCAGTCAGGGTAGCATAGTAGGATCTTGTCTTTACAGAAAAAGTTTAAAAAATTAGCTGGGCATGATGGTGTGCACCTAGTCTTAGTTATTCTGGAGACTGAGGTGGGAGGATTGCTTGAGCCCAGGAGTTCGAGGCTGCAGTGAGCTATGATCGTACCACTGCACTTCAGCCTTGACCACATAGCAAGACCCCATCTCAAAAAACAAAAATAAAAAATAAAAAAAAAAACATCCCATTTATGTAGTTTTCTTTGTTTTTGTCATATAGACAGTAAGTACAATAGGAGTTAAGGATAGGAAAGAGAAAGGGAATTATGGTCAGAAAGGCTTGCTGGAGGAGACAGGCTGGAATTGGGCTCTGAAAAACAGACAAATGGGTTGTATTGGGATTTAGCTCTATGGATGTGGTTTGGGTAAAATATTTAAAATAATAGCATCAAGTATATCTTCTAACTTCCATTTTTTGTGATGCCACCATAGCAGAGACATGTGTTTATCAGACCTTGAAAATAGCCATCCAAAAGTCGACGTTACGAGGGAAAGAAATCCAAAGTCACTGTTTAAAGACCCCAAATTTGAGGCCACATTGGTTCAGCAAACTAGTTCTGACAAGAGCTCTTATGATGTATGCAAAGATAAAAAGCTACAGGTGAATGCTGCATTTGAGGAAAAAGGTGTCATTACTGTGTCATCTCTGTTTACAAAAAACTTAATGGAGAAACAAAAGTCTTGGTCTCTGGGAGGAAAGATCCAGATTGAGCCCGAAAACAAAATTGCATTGTGCAGGATCCATGCAAAATCACCAAAAGAGAATGGAATTGAGGCCCAGAACGAAGAGAAACAGTTCTCAGAAACATCACCTTTATCTGATGAAAAGCAGTGGCACGATGTCAGCGTTTACCTGGGCCTGGCCAACTGTCCGGGTTCAAAACAACCAGAAAAGCAAGATCAGGTGGAAAGATCTGAAATCTCATGTTGCCAGGAAAACGAAGCCTGTCTGGGTGAAAGTGACATAAGTGAATCCAAGTGCTGCCACCCAAGTAACTTCATAGTTGAAGCCCCGGGCCACATGTCTGACATGGAGTGGATGAGTATTTTCAAGCCTTCCAAAACGCAGAGAATTGTTCGCCACAAATCCACATGTACTTGTTCAGAAAGCGTCAGTGGAACAAACCTTCACTCCTCAGCAAGGTTAGTGATGTTGACCTCTGTAAACACCCAGGGAAGACACATACCAATATTCAGAAATAGAAAGGCCGCACTAGACCCTTCGTGCCTACTGTTAAACCAAAAGCAGAGTTTGCAGAGATCTTATTTAAGATAAACCATTCACTCTTTTCATCACAGCATAGCCTGTTGAGTCTTCGATTGCACAGAGACCGTATCAGATTCCAGTGAAGGTCTGTACCCAGGATGGTTTCTGAGGCAAAGGTTTTGTTTAAAAACAAAACCAGTTGTTATGAGTTGGGTAAATATGTTTTATTAAAAAACAAACGGTGGGTCATTGTACAGAGTGGAATGCTCTAAAGCAGCATTCCTCACCCCAGAAACTGTTCTCAATTGACATGCTTTCTGGTCCCAATAGCGTTACCTGGACCCCGAATAAAATTTTCTCTTAGGCCAGGCATGGTGACTCATGCCTGTAATCCTAGCACTTTGGGAGGCTGAGGCAGGAGGGTTACTTGTGCTCAGGAGCTTGAGACCAGCCTGTGCAACACAGCTGTGCAACACACACTCTACAAAAAAATTTTAAAAATTAGCCAGGTGTGGTATCACACACATATCATCCCAGCTATTTGGGAGGCTGAGATGGAAGAATTGCCTGAGCCCAGGGAGCTGAGGTTGCAGTGAGCCGTGATCGTGCCACTGTACTCCAGCCTGGACAACAGAGTGATATCCCGACTAAAAAATAAATAAATAAATAAAATAAAAAATTCTCTTGACCCTTCTCCAGGGTTACTTGGGATATTATTTACATTTCCAGTGGTGTTTGCCTTTATGTTCAATTTGTATCTGTTTTGGACTTTACTTTTCCCAAATGTTCTTACTTTTTAAAAACCATTCATTCAAGAGAGAGAATATTTGTATTTAACAAGCTAGTAAAAGTTATTGCTTTGTTAAAGAAGAAAATGGGTTCGTTATTAGCATAGGCTGTGTTATTCAGGCTCGTCTTATTGTTAGAACTGCCGAATCTTGTGGTTGAGTGGTGCTATAATCATGTCTGTTATTTTTAAATAAAGTATAGCTGTTAATCTTAAATTACAGAAAGGATAAAGTTTCTATATTGAGAACTGTATTATTATTTTTTTTGAGTCAGAGTCAGTCTCGCTCTGTCACCCAGGCTGGAGAGCAGGACCGGTCTCACTCTGTCACCCAGGCTGGAGAGCAGTGGCATGATCATGGCTCACCACTGCCTCAACCTCCCAGGTTCAGGTAATCCTTCTGCCTGAGCCTCCCGAGTTGCTGGAACTACAGGTGTGCACCGCCATGCCCGGCTAATATTTTTACTTTTTGTAGAGATGAGGTCTAGCTATGTTGCCCTGATCCTGGGAATTTGAGAGCCATATATTTTCAATCATTGTATTGACTTTCATAGATTTTGTGATTAAAATTTCTTTCTAGAACTTAATTATTGGGAGTATTCTTTGGTTCAGATACTTGTTTTATTTATTTATTTTTCTTAGGTTCTTTTATAAGCTTGAGTCATTTAAAAACCATACAGATAGCTGAGTGCGGTGACTCACACTTTGGGAGGCTGTATTTTAGGAGGCTGAGGTGAGAGGATTGCCTGAGCCCAGTGGTTTGCGACCAGCCTGGGCAACTTGGTGAGACCTCATCTCTACAATAAATAAAAAAATTAGCCGAGCTCAGTGGCTCAGCCTGTAATCCCGCGCCTTGGGAGGCTGAGGTGAGTGGATTGCCTGAGCCCGCGGGTTCGAGACCCGCCTGGGCAGCAAGACCTCATCTCTACAATAAATCAAAAAATCAGCTGGGCGTGGTAGCACGTGCCTGTAATTCCGGCTACTTGGAAGGCTGAGGTGGAAGGATCGCCGGAGCCCAGCAGGTCAAGCCTGCAGTGGCCACTGCACTCCAGTCTGGGCGACTGAGTGAGACTCCAACTCAAAAAAAACCCAAAAAACTAGCTGGGTGTGGTGGTGTGTACCTGTGGTTCCAGCTACTTGGAAAGCTGAGGCAGAAGGATCGCCTGAGCCCAGGAGGTTGAGGCTGTGGTGGCCATGAGTGTGCCACTGCACTCCAGTCTGGGCGACAGAGTCAGACTCCAACTAAAACAAAACAGAACAAAATCATACAGATAAGTATTCTGCCGATTGCAAAATTTCCAAGTGTCACACTATTCATATTTAGTTTTTTAAGATCTTCTCTGGATAATTGCAAGTATCAGCAGGGCACAACTGCTAGACAGTAACACTCTTCTAGTCAAGGAAAAACTTATGTCATATAGGTTTTGTTGTTATTGTTTTTTGAGTTGGAGTTTCACTCTGTCGCCCAGGCTGGAATGCAGCGGCATGCTCACAGCCACTGCAGCCTCTACCTGCTGGACTCAGGCAATCCTTCTGCCTCAGCCTTCCAAGTAGCTGGAACTACAGGCATGTGCTACCATGCCCAGCTAATTTTTTTTTATTGTAGAGATGAGGTTTCACCAAGTGCCCAGGCTGGTCTTAAACCCACAGGTTCAGGCAATCCTCCCACCTCAGCCTCCTAAAGTGCTGGGATTATAGATGTGAGCCACCACCCCCAGCCTTAATTTTTGATTTACTGTAGAGATGAGGTCTTGCCAAGATGCCTGGTTGAGTCTCGAACCCGTGAGCTCAGGCAATCCACTCACCTTAGCCTCCCAAAGTGCTGGGATTACAGGCTGAGCCACTGAGCCCAGCTGTTAAATAGTTTTAAGAGCATAGTGGATTACATTTAATGTATGAAACGCATTCTAATTTACATTCAGAGTTTCTTTCCAGGCCCTTTTGACCTCACTGATTTAAAATAATGGAAGTGACTGCTTGTTCTGGCGGCAGAGACACATGCCACAGCATCACATGGCAAAGATGTGATTAAGTAGAAAAGATAATTATGTTTTCCTATTTTTCCTTAGATTTTAAGAACTTGTGTACCTACTTTGTTATCTAACTAAAATGTTCACACTTGTGCCACCATTCCACTTGGCAAATAGAGGTTTACCCGTGGAGGGAGAAGGCATGGGCAGCTTGTTCTCACTTAGGTACAGTGTACAGGGAGGAAGCAGGTCCAGCACCTCTGGTCTGTTTGCTGTTAAACTCTGCTTTGAGCCCAAACTTTTTTTTTTTTTTTTT